GTTGGGAAAATTACGTTTGAACTTTTTAATTTCATGCAACAAGATTTAAGTAGACCGATTGATATATTCGAAACCATGCAACGAACAACAATTGAAGTTCTTGGAAAATTGGCATTTGGTTATCGATTTGGTGCAAGTATTGTTTACTTATCATAACTTTATACCGAATTTTTATTAATCAAAAAAATGTTCGGGGAATCTTTTTTATTTAGTGCTTTGATTCTGCTGAAACACCTCACATTATAAATGTTTATAAAAATATATTTAAAACAGTAGAATCTGTTTATTATCTCATATTTCCATGGTTGATTAACTTACCGACAGATCATAATAGAAAATACTTTGAAGCTAATAAAGAATTTGATGAGTTCATTTTTGACATTATTAAGGAAAGGAGAAATGTTATTGAGAATAAGAAGGGTTCAAATAATGGCCGGATCGACTTGCTGACAAGTATGCTGGAGCTTAGCAACAAGGAGGGGGTTCATACTGATTCAAAACAGTTAAGAGATGAGATGGTGGGCTTTTTCGTTGCAGGACATGACAGTAAATATTTCTTTTATTTCTTTTTCCTTTATTTTGTTTTTTTATGATGTATAGTTAAATATATTTAATATTGGTAATGATAATGACAATAGCATCTTCAACGGCATTAAGCATTTCGTTTTATTTCCTTGCAAGATATCCGGTAAGCTTCTAATAAATAAATTATCAAGTCGCATTTATTTTGAATCTTAAGTAATTTTTTTTTTTGAAATTGGATAGGAAATGCAAGAAAGAGCACGAGAAGAAGTAATTAGTATACTTGGATATGAACCAATTACGCCTACGATAGAACAATTAAAGGTAACTTCTTCAGTTTCTTGTTTTTTACATTTTTCAAATCAACATAACTAACACAACACGTATTTTTTTTAAAAAAAGAAAATGAAATATATCAATGCAGTTATTAAAGAATCCTTACGAATTTATCCGCCAGCTACATCAATAGTCCCTCGAAAATTATCAAAGCCAATGAAAATTGGTCCCTATATTCTACCAGCGGAAACAATATGTACAATTAATATTTGGCAAATTAACAATAGTCCAAAATTTTGGGAAAATCCTAAACAATACAATCCTGAAAGATTTTTAAATAATGAAAAGATTAACGCATTTTCTTGGATCCCATTTTCTTCCGGTGTAAGAAGCTGGTAAGTACTTTTTATTAAGAAATCATTCATTAATAAATATAATCATTTATTCATTAATTACTTTGTTTGATACTTTTTGAAGTATTGGTCAAAACTTTACTTTGATGGAGCAAAGAGTTATTCTCTCAATGTTTTGTAAGTATTCATGGTTTAT